GGGAGGGGGAAATGGGAGATATCTGTAATACTATCAAATATATATAAAGAAGCTCCATAAAAGAGCTGAGGAGACAAAGGAAAATAGTGATAAATGACCTTACAGCACAAACTCGGCTCTGTCGGGCCTCTCCGCCAGCTTCAGGGCCTCGTGCATGCCCGCAGCAGAGAGCTTGCGGTTGATATTCCGGTACTGGCACTGGAGCAGGCTGCGGTAGGTGGTCCGCAGGTCCCGGTTGAAGAAGGCATATATAAAAGGGTTAATGAGAGAGTTTGCATAGCCCAGCCACAGAAATGTCCTCTCCACCCACAGCGGGATGCAGCTGCAGGAGGTGCCGCAGATGAAGGGCCTGGCGGTCGAGAGGAGGAAGAAGGGCAGCCAGCATATGGTGAAGGCCCCGACGATGATCCCCAGGGTGGTGGCTGCTTTCTGCTCCCTCTTAAAGATGGAGATGTTTTTCCTCTCGTGTTTGAGGAGTCTCGAAAGGTTGGCGCACTCCTCCACCTCCTTCTGCAGCTTCACCATGCCGTTCAGGGAGATGATGCTGTCGGGCTCCGGGTGGCGCGGGAAGCCGGGGAACTTGTGTTTGGCGGCGCTCTTGCGGGCGGCCTTGTAAATCTGGTAGTACATGAAGAGCATGACCGACATGGGGATGTAAAACGCCACTGCGGTGGAGTAAATCGTGTAGCCGAAATCCTGGCTGATCAGGCATACCTTGTCGTCGTTGACGTTCTGCGCCCATCCAAAGAGCGGGGGTAAAGTGATGGAGGCGGAGAGAAGCCAGACGGAGAGGATCATCTTGGCCATGCATTTCCCATTCTGCCGCACAGGGTACGTGAGCGGCCTCGTGATCCCGAGGTACCTAGGAAAGAAGCGGAGAGAGATCCTGTGACCACAGTGACCACATGTCCTGGACTAGGAACTACCATGAGCTAGATGCTACGCCTTAGACCTAGCAGCTCCATTCCTCACCACAGCCCTTCTAGATAGGCATCATTATTCTCATTTTGCAGAAAGGTAAACTAAGGCTCTGAGATGTTAGAGATGTTCCCTATTTTATTCCAGGCCACAGATAAGCAACAGGCACTGCCAAGATTCCGTCTATGAGCCCTCTGCCTGTAATTGCTACTCCATGCTCCTTTCATACTTTGTAGCTTCTTGTCCTCCATGTAGTCAATGAACTAAAGATTAAACATCCACCCGCCCCGCCATGACCACTCCCACAAAATCTGCCAGGAACAAAATGTCAAGCCTGATGTAGGAAGTTGTGACACATCCTCACGAATTAAGCAAGGTCTACCACACTCTGATGTTTTACACCCACTGCTCGGCTGTCTTATTTCAGGCTAGCTTTTAACTCATTTTAACTGCTCCTTTGCACTGTAGTGAAAGATATTCTTTAAGATTACAGGGATGTGTGAGATCTTTATAAAATCCTAAGGTTTTGGAATGCAAAGTAGCAAGTGATCACTCTTCTACCCCCAGAAAATTCTCACATAAGAGTAATGTCAGAGGAACAATCTATAAAATAAAAACAGCCTGCCTCATCTCTCCTCTCTTGAGAAGGCTCATGAGAAAGAGCACAATTCTGAAAAATATTAGGTAAACCCAACATTTTTTTTCTGGGCTTAATTCTACACAGAGAATAAATATATTT